TATTTTTATTCACCATGAAATGCTATCTTAAAGAATTTATGACTATTGACTTTCCAGCCTCAGGGAATTCTAGAAATTAATCTATTCCTACTGCCTCTCCGTTTTATAGATCTATTCTTACACACCAGCTTCATAGCCTTTATGAATCCCATTTGGTCCTCACTAAAATTATGGGTTATTGCTTATCATGCACTTTCAGCATATCTTGTGGCTGCCTAAAAGCTTTAGTCTTAAACCTGCTGATCCCAAGGGTCATCTTCTGTCCCTGCAGGCTGAGCACTTAACTATTCACTTACTGTTTTATTTATGTTCATAAAGAGCTCCTAGAAGACAAGAACAATTGTATAAAGATGCTTTCCATTAGAGATAATTCTATTCTGGGTATATTTTTGGCTTGCTTTGTGAACACCTGTCTCAGATTGCTGCCAGGTCAGATTTTGCCCTACTGCTTTGCCTTCAACTGATTGTATTATTGAGCCCATCTGCTTAGAACAGAGACTAGAATTTGTGGTGTTATGCTGCACTGTCCCTGTCAAATCAAGGATCATGTATAGATTTTGAATCTGTGATCTCTTCAGTAGTCAAGATTAAATATTGTTTTCACTTGAACAATGGAGAAGAAGAGATCTCCTCCATATGCTAGTTCACTCCTCAAGCAGTCACAGCAGCTGGGGTTGGGCCGGTCCAAAGCCAAAAACCAGGGACTTGGGCCGTCATCTACTGCTTCCCCAGGCACATTAACTGGATTGGAAGTGGAGCAGCCAGGACTCGAACTGTTGGGCCCATATAGGATGCCTTGCCACAGGAAGCTGGTTTTACCTGCTATGCCATGGTGTCAGCTCCCCAAGTTTGTGTTATATAGAAGTCGGGTTATTCTTTGATGCTCATAGAGCTTGTTTTTTGTCTCCTGTTTATTTTTTCTAGATTAAAAAAAATGTACAACAGTTAAATACACAATTATTTGAAGATATTCTTTAATCTGTTTCTTTCTGTTGTTTCCTTCCATTAAAATGATGTAAGAGGAAAGACACATTAGCAGGGAATTGGAGTAAGTGGTACTCAAGCATGTGTTCATATAGTGGAATGCCAGCGTTGCACCAGACCCCCAGTGTGAATAGAAAAACTTTTATATTTATTTGAGCAGATAGAAAAAGAGAAAGTGAGAAAGAACTCCCCATCTGCTGGTTTCACTCTCCAATTGCCTACAACAACCGTGAACTGGAGTACGTTTAACCCAAAAACCGAAATATCAATCTACATCTCTTGGGCCATCATCTCCTGCCCTCCAGGGTACAGATGAGCAGTAAGCTGACATCAGAAGTGAAGTGAAGTCCGAAACTCAGTCCAATATAGGATGCCAGCATTGTTCAAATGGTATAACAGAGATCAGACCAAATGCCCAACCCCAAAATAAACTGTAAAGCCCATCTTACATACTTTTTTTTAAAATCCCCAGATGATGCCTAAATATCCCTTCCCTACTTTCTCAGTAGCATTTGCAGGAAGCTGAAAAGGAAGTGGAATTGCAGGTACTCTTATCTGGTCTGCTGGTATGGGATGTTGGCACCACAGTAGCAGCTTAATCCACTGCATTGCAATACTGATCCCTAAACTTGTCTTTTGAGTCTGTTTTTTATTCCATTTTCTATGAGCTTTTTCAAATACCCTCTTAGAGAAATAAGAGAAAACACAAATGTAAGATCTTAGAAAGAAAGCAACTTTCAGAAAACAAACTCTCTGGAAATTTAACAGTAGGATAGCTATTTAAAATAGTATGCCACAAAAGAGTTGAAAGGTAAGGAAGTTTCGTAAGTGAAAGGAATGGAAAGTAGGAGAGAACACAGGACGGTAGAGGATTAGGGCTAGCAAAGCAGTTAAAGCTGTTACCTGCCAAATATCAGCATCCCATCTGGGCACTAGTTCAATTCCAGCTGCTCCACTTCCTGTCCAGCTCCCTGTTAGTGACCTGAAGGTGGCCCGAATGCTTGGGCCCCTGCAGTCCATATGGGAAATCTGGGTGAAGCTCCTGGATCCTGGCTTTAGCCTGGCTCAGTCCTGGCCATTGCAGCTACCCGGGGAGTGAATCACCAGATGAGAGGTCTCTGCTTCTTCATCTTTCTAATTCTGACTTTCAAATAAATAAATAAATCTCTTTTTTTTTCAAGGAAAAGATTATTTCAAGAGGTTCAACGACTGAGGTTCAACGACTAATAGAAATTCAGGAAGAAAAGTCAGAGACAATAGAGGGGAGGAAATTTATTGAAGAAATATTATGAAAAGATTCTTTTTTCAAAATCGAAATGTCTGTAGGTTGATAGCACAGAGGGCAAAAGAAAATCACTAGGAAGGTATAATACTGTGAAGTTTCAGAACAGTAAGAATAAAGAAAAAGTGTTTTTTGCTTGTTTATTTGAAATTTATTTTATTTGATAAGCAGAGTTAGAGAAAGTATCTCTCATCCACTATTTCACTTCCCAAACAGCTATAATGCCCAGGCTGGGCCTGGATAAATCCTGGAGCTTCATCTGGAATCCCCATGTGGATGCAGAGACCCAAACATGCTGCTTTTTCTCCAAGACATTGGCAGGAAACTGGACCAGAAGTGAAACAGCTGGGATGCAAACAGGCGTCCAAGTCCTCTATGCCACAACACTGGTCCCAAAAGGAAAACCATAAAAGCTTCCAGAGAAAACTGTCACATATTTCCCCAAAGAGATTTCAGTCCAGATGCCATTCATCTGAAGTCTTGAGCAGGGATGGAGAATGCTCATTATCCAGGGCTCATTCATGTGCCATGCAGAGGCTTCAGCCCCTCCTGTGGGCCTCCATCTCTCAAGAGGTGTCATGTAGCTTCTCCCTGAGCAAGTGACCCAGGAGAGAGGGAAGAGGCATTTCAGTGCATTTTATGACCTAACTTTGAAAGGGAAATAGCATCATCACTTTTTCTTTTTTAAGATTTATTTACCTTATTGGAAAATTTACAGAGAGAAGGAGACACAAAGATCTCCATCCACTGGTTCACTCCCCAGGTAGCCTCAATGGCTGGAGCTGAGCTGAAGCCAGGAGCCTCCTGGTCTCCCATGCAAATGAAAGGTCCCACGACCTTAGGCCATCATCCACTGCTTTCCCAAGCCCACAGGCAGGGAGCTGGATGGGAAATGGAGTAGCCCTGGATATGAACCAGCATCCATATGGGATCCCAGTGATTGCAAGGTGAGGCTACTGCCACTAGGCTACTGTACCGGACGGCATCATCACTTTGCTGTGTTCTGTGTTCTCACCCACCAACCGTGAGGCACTGTAGGAGAGGACTGGCTGCTCTAGGGTGTGAATACCAGGAAGTAGAGCTCATTGAGGTCAGCTTGGAGACTGGCTTCTGCAAGTAATAGCTAAGTGAAAGTTCAAGAAGTAATATGTAGGCATATTGTTTAGAAAGAGATAAATCCTAGGAAGAAAGAGGCTTCCTCTGAAAGCAAGAATCAGGTGGAATTTAGGGAAACACACCGCTGATCTGTTTTATAAGCCATACTGAACAATTCTTGAAGAGATATGTATGTTTATGACCATGATTTAAAAGGAATTATCAGCACCCCCTTCTGCTCCAAACATGCAACCATATAATGATTCCCCACACTGATAGTAAAGCAACAGCTGAATTGTAGGAAAAACTAACATGCCTCTGCCATTTGGAGTCTGCATGTGTCCTTGAAGGACTGGTTACTACCTGCAACCCTGAAGCTTGGTGAAAAAGGACTTAATGGCCTCACCTGATCTGTAATCTCTAACTGGATGTGACACAGCTGACGAGCACTAGGCAGTGAGATGTTCAGGCATTCTACTAATGTGGAACTTGAAAACAGGGTGACAGACCAGTTTGCTCCTGGAGAATGGGAAGTTCTTTAGTGGAATGTTTGCAAAGATTGAAGCTATAAATGGCAAGGCTTTTTAACAGAAAGGTGGAAATGCTTTACAGAATTCCTAAGGCATAGATTGGTAATCTTTTTTTTTTAATTGAAATGTGATTGTAAGGTTTTTTTTTTTTTAAGAGATTTTATTTAATTTGAAAAGCAAAGCAGCAGAAAGGAAATTTTCAACTGTTGATTAATTACCTAAATGCCTACAACAGCCAGGTGTTGGCAAAGCCAGAACCAGGAAGCAGGAACTCCACCTGAATCCCACATAGGTCGCAGGGATCCAAGCTCTTGAACCATCATCTGCTGCTGCCCAGTGTGCACGTTGTCAGGAAGCTGGATCAGGAGTGGAAGAGGGCCTTGATGCCAGGCCCTCTGGTATGGCTTAACCCGCTGTGTCATGGTCCCTGCCCTGAGAAGAATTTTATGCAAATTAGACCAAGATTGGGTTTCTGTTCCTAAAGGCCATCCAGAGCTCTGGCCAGTCCACTGCCGTACTGCTAGTTGCTGCTAGTTGCTATAGAGTCATTTTGCCTAGAGGAACTCTGGGATCTTTGCTATCAGAACATGCTTGTTGCCCAGGGACCTCTAGCATTGAAGCCTGTAACTCCAGCTCTGTTTACACACACAAGCCCCCAGCAGAAGTCTGATTTAGTTTCTCTTTGTCTCTTCCTATCACTGTGTGTTGGTTTTTCTTGAACATATTACACTGTTGGGAGCTTCAACATTCTTAGTTTGTCTTTTCCATCTGCTTTCTTAATATTGGGGTTGGGATAAAGTGTTAAAGGAACTAAGTACCCAGGTTGATGGAGGAGTTGAGAGAGAGTATAATTAGAAACTACCACATGAGGCATTCAGGCTTTGGTTTTTCAATATTTTATACCTCACCAAAGTGTATTTTCATTTTTTTGCTGTAATTGAGCGTATTGGTCTTTAGGATCTCTGTGGTAAGCTTCGCTGTTAGGCCCTCTAATACCTTCAGTACTGTCATAGAGGGATAGAGGGCAGAAGGTTGAGCTGCAAAGTCCAGGTTGGGTTTTTATATTTGCATTACTCAGCATCTATCTTTGTATTTTATTGTGCCCACAGATTGGGGACCATAAATTCAGTGCTCACCGGATCGTCTTAGCAGCCTCAATTCCATATTTCCATGCAATGTTTACAAATGACATGATGGAGTGCAAGCAGGATGAGATTGTGATGCAAGGCATGGACCCCAGGTACTGAATCTTACCCTTTGTTTTCATAGGTTGGTTTCAGGTGCAATTTCTGCAGGTGCTGAGGGCCTGCAGCAGGATGTGTTGTATAATAACACAGCAACTCCATCCACGTGGTGGGGGATTTGTCAATAGGTTGGACCCACAGTCAGTGGCCATAGATAGGGTTAAAATGAAGGCAGATTGGATGCTTTAAAAGAAAAAGTACAGAACAATACTTTTTATGAGACCTACAAGCCAAGATGCTCTAGGTACAAGGTGGTGGTATAGTCTGGGTGCTTTTCTAAGTCAGGCATTATAGCCTGCAGAGTGGTTCTTCAAATATGTGTCTACATTCACTTCTATTCTCAGCAGTCCAGAACAGTAAGTGTTCTATTTATACACTGTTTGTCTGTAGTGGTACTTGTTAGCCTTAGAAGGCTTTGGGGCACTTGAGATGTGACTAGTGAGACTGAAAAACTTGATTTTAAAAAATTTTATTTTAATGAATTTAAATTTCATTCTAGATAGCCACATGTGTGTCAGACAGTGAAGGGTCTAAAATGTAGCAATGTTGTAATTAATTAATGGATATGAAAATTTAAGCCCAAGGGCTTCAAGCCAGGGTTAGTCAGGAACCTTGCTTTATTATTGCTTAATGACCTAATGGTAAAAGCTAGGGAAAGGAGATAGGTGACTCCATGATATCCTCTGGATGACCAAAAGCAATATGTCCCCCCACCTCCCCATTGCCAGGATGAAAGCAGGTCAGCTGCCTCTGAGAAAAGACAAGGATTGGATCTCCAAGGGTGGCTGTGTGCTGCTCCGAGCTCCGAAGGACCCTTCAGAATTATTATTCTGTGAACTCTAGCTAGAGGCTTCATTGAACAGCAAGTGAACAACTGTGGTTTTCATAGTTCTAGGCACTGAGGTCTAATAGTGAGAAGAAAAAATTAGATCACATTTTCTCATGGTGCTTTCTCTTGGGGATCTGCCAAGAAACAGACACCTGCTGTGACTGGAAGTGAAAGTGATGTGAAGAAAATAAAGATCAGTGAGTTATGGTAGAGATTGGTACTGTTTCGGAATGTCAGAGTTGGCCTCTGTGGGCAGCAGGTGTTAGCGTATCAAAGCGAAGGAATCAGCAGTCTTAATACAGAGCCAACCAAGCAGGAAAGAGAGGAATCCACATTGATGAGCCCAGAGAGATGGAGCAGGGCTGGGCCACAGACAACTCTGTAGGTGGCTTAGGGCTTCATCTTCCATGTGAATTGGAAGCCAAAAGAAAAGTTGGACATCTCATTCAAGAAATTTACCCCAAATAGTAATGATTCAAAACCATCATAGTGGTAATAAGATGATAATAGCTATTATGCCCGCCAATAAAGGAAATAAATTATAACATATTTGTAAGTTGAAATATTACATATCAGCCACTTAGCAAGCAGAGGAGGCCTGGCATGCAAAGTCATTTGGCCTGGTCTTGCCAAGGCAACTGCAGGAGGGACTTAAAGTTCAATAAATCTATAGCAGGCTAATTTTTAAGCTGGTATTTTTGTATGGCCCACAAATTATGTTATAAATATCCACTTGGCCTTTGGCAGGAAAAAGATTCTCTACTCCTCAAAACAGGAAGATAATAAAGTAACATGGCAAAGGGCTTGATACGTGTTTTATGGTTATTTCCATGTAATTTATGCATGCTTGTGGACAGAAACTGAAAGTGAACCTAGAGAAATGACCACTGTTGACTTTTTCAGTAGTGAGTCTGTGGGTAATGGCTTTCTCTGTTTCAGAATTTTCTGTAATAAAATTATTTGGCCAGTGACGGTAACTCCAAAGTATAATACTTTGGCTGTGGTGTTAAACTGAGTCTGTTGAGACCAGTTCTCCAAGGCTAACTGGATATTCTAGTGTGGCATGTGTGTTCTGTGTGTAGTCATGTCAGTTCAGTTAGGGCTTGAATTTGCTGGGCACAAGGACTTGTCTCTGAAGAGCTTCTAACGGCTTCCCCTCTTCCCTCTAGTGCCTTGGAGGCTCTGATCAACTTTGCTTACAACGGCAACCTCGCTATTGACCAGCAAAATGTGCAATCATTGCTAATGGGTGCGAGCTTCTTACAGCTGCAAAGCATCAAAGACGCCTGCTGCACATTCCTCCGAGAACGGTGAGGTGATGGGACAGCCTGGCCTATAGAGGGCAGAATGGTCATCTCATTTCTAGAATCCCCTGCCAGTTTGCTAAGTTCTTGGTGAACAGAGGACTTTTTTTTTTTTTTAAATATCTATTTTTATTTGAAAGACAGATACTACAGAGAGAAGACAGAGAGAAAGATCTTCCATCAACTGGTTCATTCCCTAAATAGCCATAATGGCCAGGGCTGAGCTGATCTAAAGCTGGGAGCCAGGAGTGTCTTCTGGGTCTCCCATGTGGGTACAGGGGCCCAAGTACTTGGGCCATCCTCTGCTGCTTTCCCAGACCATAAGCAGAGAGCTGGATCAGAAGTTTAGCAGCCAGGACATGAACTGGTGCCCACATGGGATGCCAGTCCCATAGGGTACAGGATTAACCTGCTATACCACTGCACTGGTCCCTGTACAGAGGATTTTATAAAGAGGGTGAGCTAGAAAGGTTGTTCTGCAGTGATGACTATAGTGAATCATTGTCAAGCAACATCTGTTTCTTTGGGATGAATCTTTGCAGAACATAGAAGATTTACTTAGTCCTGCCTGTTTTCTGCCTTGATTTGGTATATATACATTCTCTGATCCATTCTGTTCAACCTCACCAGCCACTCATTTAGGTGAGTGATTCAGTGTTCTCTGTTCCATAGCCATTTCCAAATTTGTTTAGATACTTCCCCTCTCCTGGAATTTCTGAGCCAGCTTTTTTTTTTTTTTAAATTTAACTTCTTTTTAAATTACTATCATCGTTTTATGATACAGTTCCATAGGCCTTGGGATTTCTCTACTTCCCTCCCCAAGTCCCCTTCTCCTCACCAAATTCTCCTATATTATTACTATAACATAGCTCTTCATAAACAGTCACATGTTCATCATTGCGGGATTGGACAGTGGCAGAGAGTGCAGCCTCCTATTGTTAAGATACAGCTAATAGTTTCATCGGGAGTCCATCTTTGATCTGGGAGTAGAGATGCACACTGCACTGTATCCTCACATCTGGGCATGATAGTCTCCATTACAGTTTCTGCACATCCCTCTTAAATGAAAAGCCACAATACAAAATCAACAACAGGAAGAAAAATAGGAATTTACAGCACCATGAATTTCTCAAGAGGTTTCAGTAGTTCAGCAGGCCTGAATTGTTGGTGTTCCCACCACTACAGTGACGATGAAATCTCTCCCCAATCCACTGGCTGCTGTAGTCCACCTTAGTGTCTCTGTCTACCCACATCTTCACTGCCAGTGATTGCCAAGTCAGCTTTTTATACCTAAAATTTTTCAGAATTCAACCAAATTTAACTTCTGGGAGTTCTTGCTTTTTTTTTTTTTTTTTGAGATTTATTTATTTTTATTGGAAATTCGGATATATTGAGACACAGGAAAAAAAGGAAACACAAAAAGATCTGTCCTCTGGTTCACTCCCCAAGCGGCTGTAATGGCCAGAGCTGAACTGATCTGAGACCAGGAGTCAGATACTTCCTCTGGGTCTCCCACATGGTTGCAGGTTCCCAAGGCTTTGGGCCATCCTCAGCTGCTTTCCCAGGCCACAAACAGGGGAGCTGGATGGGAAGTGGGACCGCTAGAATTAGAACTGGCACCCCTATGGGAGCTTGGTGCATTCAAGGTGAGGACTTTAGCCACAAGGCTATCATGTCGGGGGCGCCCCCCCTTTTTTGAGGTTTTATTTTACTTATTTAAAAGGAGAGTTAGAAGGACCGGTGTGGTGGCATAATAAGTTAATCTTCTCTGCCTGCAGCATTGGTATCTCTCATGTGGGCACTTGTTTGAGTCCCTTAGTTAAAGGATGAATGCCATTTAACTGCCAGAGGCTTGGGTGTAAGGGACAGTACTGGACCAGGCACAGTAAGGGAGAAACTGGGGTAACACCTCTGGGTGTGCAGTGCTTTCCCAACCCAGCCCCCCAGTGAACCTTCATTTACCACCAGCAACCCTTCCTGACTCAGATCTACCATTCTGAACCTCATTGTTTTTTAGACCCAATCCACCCTTCTACCATTCCTGTTCCACCAATCCTGTTTGCTTAGCAGCGCTATGGACCCTGCTTGTTGTCCACTATTGATCTCCTGCCTACACGGTGCCCATGAGCATCCCTGAGCACTGCATTGTGGCAGCCAGTCGACAACTGCATAAATGATACCTAAAATGCAGGGCCATTTCCGTCCATGGTATTAGCCTGTGCCCAAAAAAGTAAATATTGCGTTGAGGTCAAGTGTGGCTCCAGACCCCGTGAAGCCTCCTAGGAGGCTGGAAGCATGCATGTGGGAATTGTGGGGCCCACACTGTCTTTGCTGCTTATTTGTGACATAGACTGAGCTTTCTGATGAAGATTTAATCGGTCGTCCATCTTCAAGCCTTAATTAACCAAAGGACAACAGCTCCACCTAGGGGCTTTTGAAGTCAAGACTGTCAGCACTGGATCCAGGCTTGGTCAACAAGTAATGTCAACTAAAAGTACTTAGAAAGTGATTTATGTATTTGAAATGCAGAGTTACAAAGAGAAATCAGAGAGAGAGAGAGAAATCTTCCATCTGCTGGTTCACTCACTAAATGGCCATAATGGTCTGAGCTGATCCAGGTATCTGGAAAGCTTCTTCTGGTTTTCACGTGTGGATGCAGGGACCCAAGAACTTGATCGTTCCCCACTGCTGTCCCATGCCATTTGCTGGGAGCTGGGTAGAAAATGGAACACCAGTGGGAATAGTTGCTTCCCATCCATATGGGAAAGTGACACTGCAGGTGGTGGCTTAACTCATTACACAATGGGGAAAAAAAATATTCTGATAAATTTAAGTAAGCTTGTGGTGGGTGTTTGGCCTAGTGGTTAAGATGCTTACATCTCTAGGCCTGAAGCAATGGCTCAATTGGCTGAACCTCCCCTTGCAAGTACCAGGATCCCATATGGGTTCTGGTATGTGTTCCAAGTGCTCCACTTCCCTATTTGTGGCCTGGGAAAGCAGTCAAATGGTTCAAAGCCTGGGGACCCTGTACCACATTGAAGGACCCAAGAAACCCCTGGCTTTGGATCGGCTCAGCTCTAAGAGGGTCATTGCGGCCACTTGGAGAGTAACAGCAGGTGAATGAAAGATCTTTCTCTGTGTCTCTCATCTGTGTAAATCTGTCTTTCCAATAAAAAATAAATAAGTCTTTAAAAAAAATGCTCATTTCCCTTATCGGAACACTTAGATACAAGTCCCAAGTTTATTCCCAATTCCACATTCCTGCTGTTGTGTATCCTTGGGAAGCAAGAAATAGCTCCAGTGGTTGGGTTCCTGCCATTCACACGAGAGATCTGGACTGAACTTCTGCCTCTTGACTTCTGACTTGGCCCAGCCCTGGCCACTGTGAATATTTAGGCAGAATAGAAGATCTTTGTGTCTTTATTTCTCTTCATTATCCCAGACTGACAGCCCTTGTGCTTTCCCTTTTTCTTCTTGTACCCTTTTCCCTCCAATTTGTTTTTCCTTTTTTTTTTTTTTGTTCAATGCCAAAAGGCTTCACCCCAAAAACTGCCTGGGTGTACGCCAGTTTGCTGAGACGATGATGTGCACTGTGCTCTACGATGCGGCCAACAGCTTCATCCACCAGCACTTTGTGGAGGTGTCCATGTCAGAAGAATTCCTGGCCCTGCCCTTGGAAGACGTGCTGGAGCTGTTGTCTCGGGATGAGCTGAATGTAAAATCAGAGGAGCAAGTATGTAGGGCAGAGTGGTTGGTCTCTGAGCATGGGTTTGTTCTTCTATGTATGTTTTTGATGAAAACGTAAATATTTTAGTGCCTAAATGTATTCTGTTGATTTTCTCACAGTTACTTCCCTTATTCTGGAATTTCTGGGTTATTTTTAATATTTACTTTAAAAAATAATGCTACTATGAAGTGGAAATGGCAAGGATAGATAACATTTTACAAGAATCTTTCCCAAGAGAATAGAACATTGGGACAGTTATTTGAAAGAGTGACAGAAGGAAACACGAACACTGATGCACAACAGAGCTTGCGTTTGTTGGCTCACTCCACAAGTGACCTTGACAGCAGTCTGGGTTGTGGCAGAAGCCCGGAGCCCAGAACTCCATCCAGGTCTCCTAACAGTGGGTTGCAGAGGTCTAAACACTTGGACCATCCTCTTCCATGCCCAGGCAGATTAACAGGGAGCTGTATCAGAAGCACAGCAATTGGTACTTGAACTGGTACTCTGGCATGGGATGCTGGTGTTGCAAGCAGCAGCTTAACCTGTTGGACCATAGTGTTAAGCTATAAAACTCCCATGAGAGTGTGTGTTTTTAAATGAGAGAGAGATGGCAGCATATTTTACTGCCAATGGGAATTTTCCAGAAGAGAAGGAAGAATTGATAATGTAGGACACATGGGAAAATAGTTGCTAGAATGAAGTTCTGGAATGGAAAAAGAGCATAGGGTCTTGGGGGTTGTATATTTGGTGGAGCACACATGTGGTATCAGTTGTGCTAGAGAGCAAGTGTTATTTTGGAGTTACATTTGAAGTTATGTTAGTGTGGCAGTGGTCTAACGGCTAAAGTCCTTGCCTTGAACGCACCGAGATCCAATATGGGCGCCGGTTCTAATCCCAGCAGCTCCACTTCCCATCCAGCTCCCTGCTTATGGCCTGGGAAGGCAGTTGAGGATGACGCATGGCCTTGGGATCCTGCATCCATGTGGGAGAGCTGGAAGAGCTCCTGGGTCCTGACTTCAGATCGGCACAGCTCTGGCCGTTGTGGTCACTTGGGGAGTGAGTCATCGGATGGAAGATCTTCCTCTGTCTCTCTTCTCTGTATATCTGAGTTTGTGATAAAAATAAATAAATCTTTTTTCAGAAGAAAAAAAAAAGATAATAATGAAATCCAGAAAAGCTATTATAGTCATCTGGTTTACATTGCTGTAAGACTGGGCCACCCATAAAAATTCATTAACAGTATACAAAGTTAAAGATCTTTGCAAGTATACATGACAATAAATGAATAAATAAAGACTGGGCCACCCAGAAGTAGCAATGGAAGTGGCGAGAAAGCGATGAAATCAACTGGGGAGCAGATTGATGAACCCAAGGGGTTACCTTGGTATAGAGAATAGAGGGATTGAGATTGGGGGTGCAGGTTGGAATCATCCTCTGTGAGGGAAGTTGTCAGAGCTTGTGCTCTATTATGCAGGTCTTTGAAGCTGCACTGGCCTGGGTCAGATATGACCGGGAGCAAAGAGGAGCCTACCTGCCTGAGTTGCTGTCTAGCATTCGCCTGCCTCTCTGTCGGCCACAATTCCTGTCAGATCGAGTGCAGCAAGATGACCTGGTGCGTTGCTGCCACAAATGCAGGTGAGTGACTGCTGAGGGTCTGAACGGAGAAGAGGACTTGCCCACCTGCCTCAGCTTAAGGGAGGAAGAATGGGGAGTGATCATCATGGCACATGCATTGGTCTGCCCTGTCTGGAACCGGGAAGAGAAGTGCTGTTGGGAAGTGACAAGGCAAAAGAGCTTGCTTTTGATGATTTTCCAGCATCTTCATCTACTGTGTTGTGGGGTGTTTGTTTGTTTGGGGTTTTTTGTTTGTTTCTTTTAAGATTTAGTTATTTGTGGGCCTAGCACAATAACCTAGTGACTAAATCTTCTGCATGTGTCAGAATCACGTGTGGGTACTGGTTCATGTCCCAGCTGTTCTACTTCCCTTGCAGTTCCCTGCTTGTGGCCTGGGAAAGCAATAAAGGATGGCCTAAAGCCTTGGGACTCTGCAGCCCTGTGGGGGACCCAGAAGCTCCTGGCTTCAGATTAGCTTAGCTCTAGCCATTATGGCTGCTTGGGGAGTGAATCAGCAGACAGAAGATCTTTCTGTATTTATGTCTGTATATCTGCCTTTACAATAAAAATAAAAATAAACACATCCTTAAAAAAAGGTTTAGTTATTTGAAAAGCAGTTAGGAAGGAGTGGGGGGAGAAAGAAAGAGTCAGAGGTATCTTTTATCCACTGGTGAACTTCCCAAACGGCCACAATGGTTGGAGCAAGGCTAATCTAAGGCCAGAGCCCAGAGCTTCTTCCAAATCTCTGCGTGGGTGCAGGGAGCCAAGGACTTGGGCCACCTCTGCGGCTTTCTCAGGGGCACTATCAAGGAGGTGAATTGTAAATGGAGCACCTGCAACTCAAAGCACCATCCATATCGGATGTTGGCTTTGCAGGTGGTGTCTTACATGCTGAACCATAGCACCAGTCCCCTAAGGTTTTTTTTTTTTTTTTTTTTAATGAATGTGCAAGCAACTGTACCACCTGTCCTGACCCTATCCCAGTAGCTGACTTGGTTGTGCAAATAGGACTCTGGGGACCTTCATGCTGTTCAGTAAATATGAATTAGTGCAATTACTGCCTCTATGGTGATGATTGAGAGGAGGACTGCTTTCTAGCCAATGAAGTTTAACTTGTGTACCTCTGTATAATAGACATAGCAGAACCATTTTCTCACCCCTGAATTCGCTGATTTGGGAGGAAGCTGGTGGCTCGATTCAGGCAGTATGAAGGTGTGTGTGAGGAAGGGGCAGTGGTAACTGGAGGCCTGGGACAGCAATCTCAAGTGTGCTGCTGAGGAGTGTAAACTGTTGTGTTGTTAACAGGAAGCTAGCAGTGGTTCCTAGAAAAACAGCCTGGATTGTAGTGTAGGGGCAGGCTGGAGGCAGGGAGATCCATCAGGAGCTGTCAGTTGTGACTGCCATAATGCCAGATGGAGAGGATTCATTGCAGGATGGGAGCCATAGTGCAGTCCTAGGGTGGAAAAGGGGAGCCAGGTCCGAGTGGTAACAGGACGCAGGCTACTTGTTGAACCTCCTGAGGCACAGCTGTGCTAGCTACCACCCACTTGTTCTTATACCTAATGGAAGATACTCACTAGGGCTGGCTCTGTTGACTAGCAAGTTAAGCTTCCACCTGTGGAATCAACATCCCATATGAGCACCTGTTCAAGTTGGCTTCTCCATTTTCTATCTAGCCCCCTGCTGATGTACCTGAGAGAGTGGCAAAAGATGACCCCCAAGTCCTTGGACCCCTGCACCCATGTAGAAAAAAAAAAGTTGCTCATAGTGATTACATGCACTAAAGGAGGGCTCAGTTTTGCTCCTTCAGTTTTGAACATCTCTAGCTGAGTGGTTTCCCTGGATCTTGCTTGAGTTCTTTTATTCTTTCCTTTTTTTTTTTTTTTTAAGTTTTTATTTATTTATTTTATTTGAAATGGCCAGTGACAGAGAAATAGGGAGAAACAGAGAACTCCCACTTATTAGTTCACTTCCCAAATGGCCAAATGGTCGCAGTGGCTCGGGCTGGGCCAGGCCAAAGACAGGAACTGTATCCAGGTCTCCCACATGGGTAGCAAGGACCCAAGTACCTACTTTTCCAGGTGGTCCTTTAGCAGGGTGTTGAGTCCTAAGTGGAGCAGCCAGAACTCAAACTGATACTATGAAATAGGATCCAGTGTTGCTGGCAGTGGCTTAAGTTGCTACACCACAATGTCAGCTGTTTATTTGGGTTTTTGAGACCAGACATTTCCAGAAGGTTTCCTCACTCATATTTTCCCTTTTTGCGGAGGGAGTAGGAATGGGGGAGCCAGGCTCAGAAATATAAATGTGGCCCAGGTGGAGAAGATACCTCCTGACCTAGCATCTTGTACCTTATCCCAGGGACCTGGTAGATGAAGCCAAGGACTATCACCTCATGCCAGAGCGCCGGCCCCACCTGCCAGCCTTCAGAACTCGGCCTCGCTGCTGCACCTCCATTGCTGGGCTCATCTATGCTGTGGGGGGCCTCAACTCAGCAGGTATCTTGCAACTCCCCTTTGCAGAGCCCCATGTCAGACTCCAGGGATGAGGAAACATCAGACATTAACTTAACCCAGCCCTCTGGATTCTCTCCATAATCTCACCTTCTCTCCCCCTCTTGATTTGATGTAATTGCTGTGCAGTTAGAGCTTATCCTGTATTCTTCCCATTTCACAAGAGGTCCTTGAAGCCTTGTCCCTGACCTCACAGATGAGGACATGGAGTCCTGGAGAGCTCTTGCTGTTCTCACAGGTTGTTTTTGATAGAACTAGGAGTAGAACTCAAGTGTCCTCATTTCTAAAGCAACCCTGTTCCCTTAATATCACATTGGCAATGGCAGTAATGCTTACCAGCTGAGTCATGGATAGGGCATAGTCAGAGACTCATCCAGCTACTACACAGTTTCTCCTTTGCTCTTGTGACTCATGGAGCCCACTAGGAGACTGTCTCCGAGAAAAAGAAGTGCAGCGCCTGCCACCTCATAATGGATTTTACTCTTCGCCCCTATTCTCCATGAAGTGCACATATACTTTACAACCCCTCCGTTACTGGCAGACCTTGTATTATACAGTCAGATTCTCAGGGAAGTTACAATGGGTCTCCTGTCTTCTTGAGGGTCCTGGGCAGTTTTATTTTGAACTAAAGAGTGACCTGGGAAAGGTAAGTCCTAAACTGAGGAAGTACTGGAGTGTGGCAAGCACGAGTGCCGCAATGTAGCACCTGACAGAAAGGGAAATCATTTAATTTGATGTCACAAAAATGCCGTGAAAAAGAGGGCTTTTTTTTCCACCTTGCTGTTTATGATTACTATTTATTGAACACTAATTATGTGCTAGACCTATGCTGGGTGCTTTACCTATTATATCACTTAATCATGATAATTGTGCCATTAACGTTGTTTCATGTGTGAAACTGAGGGTAAGGACACAAGACAACATTGGAACCCATATTCTTTCCTCTCTGCCCATGTCTTTGGCTTTATATAGGTAGCAAACCTGATTGTAAGTGAAAACTACCTTCTCTGAAAAGTAATTTGCTGATTAATATTTTCCTCAAAGAATCAGATTGAAAGTTATTGGGGGAGGGATTTAGGGAAGGTGTAAGGGAAATCCCAGGGCCTATGGAACTGTGTCATATAATAATAATGTTTAAAATAAATTTTAAAAGTTACTGGGACTGAAGTTTCTTCATGGGCCATTGTGCCCTGTGTAGTTCTACAGGAAGAGCTAATACGCAATCCAGTCAACGTTCCGTATAGTTGTTGCCTAATAGTTGTGATCTAAACAAGTGGTCTCATCTGTTTTAATTTTGAGTAGCAAATTTTTATGCAGGTGATTCCCTGAATGTGGTGGAAGTGTTTGACCCTGTCGCCAACCGCTGGGAGAAATGCCATCCCATGACCACAGCGCGCAGCCGTGTGGGCGTGGCTGTGGTGAATGGGCTTCTCTATGCCATCGGGGGATATGACGGCCAACTTCGGCTGAGCACTGTGGAGGCCTACAACCCAGAGACGGACACATGGACCAGAGTGGGGAGCATGAATAGCAAGAGAAGGTATTTTGGAAGCCACGTACAGCCTGAGCATACACACTGAGCACGGGGAGTGCCATGCTAGACGAGCAGGGCCACTTGATAAAGTAAAACACAAGCCCTGGCTTGGGAATGTTCTGCAGCCAGGCCAGCCACTGCTGGGACCTCCTGGGAACAAGCCCCCATCTTCCCAACAGTAAAGTATCTGCCTTGTCCTTTGAGCAACTTGGGGAGATGAGCCGTGAACATGTGGAAGTTGTATTGTTATTTAAGTGCCAGATAAGGACTGGAAAATGTGTTTTATGGAAGATTCAAGGAGGGAGAGAAATTGGACTGGAACAGCTGGAAGATTTCAGGGAAGAGGTGGAGTTAAAGTTGAAACTTGAAGAATAAGGAGGATTTAACTTGATTAGTGATGAAAGGAAATGCAAGGTGTTCTTTATCTTTTCTTTCCCCCCAGGACTCTTGCCACATATGTGCTTCCACTTCCCTGGTGTACACGAATTAAAGCAGTTTCCTTTCCTTCAGGACATGCACAAGGGGGACCAAGTTGATATGTCGCTGAACACTTCCAGCCACTCATTTTCTCTACCACTTGGTTAGAGGACACCTCAGTAGTGAGCACATTCAGGCTTCTCAGTGCAGAGGTGACAGGTAGATGTGTGGCCCAGGGTTCCCATACTTGGACTGTGGGAGGGCAGATCCTTCTCAAGCCACGTAATTAGGCAAATGTCTATTCCTTAGTCCCTGATGAGGCCACTCACTGGCTACCACCATGGTTGTTCTTTAAGGATGTTTCTGCTGTAATTATGTGTTCAAAGTATTTGCTTTCCAGGACTAGTTTTGTGGCATAGTGGATAAAGATGCTATGTGTTGTTGCCAGCATCTCATCTGGGCACTGGTTTGTTTCCCAGCTGTTCCATTTCCAAGGCAGCTTCTTGCTAGTGGCCAGGGAAAAGCCATGGAGTACGGCCCAAGTGTTTGGGCCCTGGTGCCCATCTGAGAGACCTGGATGGAGCTTCTGGCTCTTGACTTTGACCTGGTCAACCTTGACCTTTGTGACTGTCTTGGGAGTGAACCAGTGGGTGGAATCGCACTCTTTCTCTCTCTGTAACTCTAACTTTACAAAAATAAGCTAATTTTTTTTAATTTAAAAATTTAGAAAGTATTTGCCTTCCAGATTCCTTCACCTAGCCCTGCTTAGGAGTTTCTGCTTGTAAGAACATGTGGCTGGGAAGAAGAAAAAATCAAATGATGACACATGTGAGAAAGAAGAGTTAACATAGAAGTCCTTTGTCACGTTAAAGTTTTGTGGCCATGTTGCACATCTTCCATACTGCAGTGTTTGCATGTGACCATGAGCCAGGAAGAATCTGCTTGTGTACCAGTTAACCAGACTCATAAAGAGTCAGAGTAGGTTTGTCTTGCAGGAAACCAATGATCACATGGATCTGCTCCCCCCGGGAATGCTCTCACAATTCTCTCCTGCCTCACCACCCAGACCTTTGCAGTCTGTGACTCATTGTTCTGGATCCCCAGTCTTAGTGGCTTTTCCACTCCAACAGCCATTGGTCGCCCTTCCTTGTGTTTGCCCTGGGCCTCTCCTTGCTTTGATGTCACTGGGTTTACAGTGTTGTCTGGAGGAAAGTCCCCTGAGCATTCCTTTCCTCACTGTGGTCAGTGTCCCTGTTATTAGTACCATGGGCCCAATTCCATCCCGTCCCTTTTAAATTACAGGTTACCTTAAAATGTTCTCAATTGCTGCTTTTTTGACATCCCACACTCTTCTCCATCCTGCCAGTGACAGGCTCCTTTGTCCTTCCCATCACCTCCAGTCTTCCAGGCTACATCCATGGAACTTTCCTTGCTCTGGGCTATTCCAGTCCACACTGATCAACACTTTCTCTTATTTCTGCACACTTGCCTTTACCACTAAGTTGTTGTTTTGTATCTCTCTTTCTCTCTTTTCCACTCTCTCCTTCTGTCCTTTAAAATTTATTAATTTGAAAGGAAGAGTTACAGGAGATGATCATGGATCTTTCATCTGCTGGTTCATTCTCCAAATGGACGCAACAGCTGAGGCTGGCCCAGCCCAAAGGTGGGAGCCTAGAACCCCATCTGTACCTCCCACATGGGTGGCCGGGGCCCAGACAGTCCGATTATCTTCCACTGCTTTTCCCAGGCACATTACCAGAGAGCTGAGTCAGAGGTAGAACAGCCAGGACTCAAACCAGTGCTCATATGGGATACTGGTGTTGCTACTGATGGTTTAAGTAGCAGTACCACCACATCAGCCCTGATGTTTGATCTTAGACACTTTGGAAGCACCTGTTACAATCTTCAACATCATGTTTGAAAACAGTCCATCATTGTTGGTGTTTGATTTCTGTTGAGGCTTTTTTAGAACAGACTATATGATTTCACCAGACCTCTTGGGTCTTTACTACTCAGGGAGCTTAGCAGGAGAGTGGAGCTTATCTCATTTACATCAAAGGCAGGTGTTTCCCTGGGCAGCATGGAGAAGAGCGCTCAGCCTCCTGTACCACAGCTGCTCATTTGTGCACTGATGATGGTGACCTGACCTTCCTCGCAATGTGTGGAGAGGGTTAAAACTAGTAAACAGTGGTAGCTAATATATGGAGTAGAAAAAGAAAAAACAATTGTGTATGAACAGAAAATGACTAATTTCTATTATCAGTCTTGGGAAATTATTATTCTTGAAGTATTTATTAAAAACATGTCAATGTAGAACAGAATGAAGCATATAATCTTATTAGGTTCCTGTTACAATTTTTTAAGCAAATAGCAAATTTAGAGCACCTGCCATACATAGTAAGTGTGAACTGAGGAAGCATCACTCCATGAAGTCAAGTTAGAGATCAGACAGGACTGGACTTGCAGTGAAAGCACATCTATCACTTTCAGTGGGACAAATCAAATGTAACACAGTGACTGTATATTGAGGGAATATATAAGGCACTGCGCTAATTACTGTCAAGGTCGCATGAAGACCCTTTGTCCTGTTGAGAGGTAGCAGGCAGAGTACCAGTGTTCAATGGAGGCAGAAGATAAGCATCTTAGGGGCAGGAGCTGGGCTTGTTTAGCACTCTACACACTGCCACAGTGCCTGAGATAGTATGCCTAGTGACGGGAATCTGATGGATGATGACTGATTGCAACCAATACTCTATTGAAGGAAGAAGCTGCTGTGGGAATATGGAGTCGGGAGAACATTAATTCTTGTTTGGGAACTCTTGCATAGCTTTAGGGAGGGAAAGGAGAAGAATTTGACCTGGGCCATAGAGGTATATTAGATCATCATGGCAGTTTGGAAGGGACAATTTTAGACAGCTCATGGACTGGGAAAAGTCAAGATGGGAGGTAGTGAGTGGGGACAGATGGGTTGGGGAGCATGAACTTTACCACCTTAGATAAGTGCCTGTTCCAGAAAGAGGCATTGGCAGTCAGGTTAACTTCTCAGTGGAAATGAGAGGCAGTGCCTGGAAAGTTGAGGCCCATCTGGAGTGACAGTTCTGTCTGTTTCAGTGCCATGGGGACAGTCGTGCTGGATGGACAGATCTACGTGTGTGGGGGCTACGATGGCAACTCCTCCCTCAACTCCGTGGAGACCTACTCACCTGAGACGGATAAGTAAGGGTCCCGGCTCCCCGGGGCATCTGGAACTTAATGAACAACAAGGTTCAAAGACTTGGGGCTGCAATTTTGTGTGCAGATTCTTAACTAGGTTTTGCCCCTTAATGTTTTGTAAGTGATAGGTATTTAATAAGTCTTTGATTAAATGAATGCTTATATAATTTCTAAGCAAATTATCTGTGCAAATGCTTGGAAAGTATTTATTTGACAGTCTGTACCTCTTAATAACTCAGCCCATTTTTATGGACATGCAAGCAAGAGAGAATAGCAAGTAGACAAGCGACATGTTCCAAGGTGGGTAGGATATGATTCAGAAAAAAAGCAAAACATTAAATGGTGGGATGAGCACGGAAGAGATGTTGATTCCTATACCCTCAGAGTTAACCCTGTTAACATTCTGAAGGCTCTGAAAACTCCTGCAGTGAAGAACCCTGTTTAACCTTGTATTTTATGTAACACCGAACAACATCTTGTGAGGCTATTTTCTGAAATAGTCTTTGGGAACCACTGACAAAATTAACCTAAGTTTTTCATTTCAGTATTTGAACACTGTCATATTGTATAACAAAACAGAAGCAAATGAGTTGGATGAACTTACTGGGATACTTTTGAGCCAGTTTTCTGTCACTTCCCAAGTTACCTAAGTATCAGGCAGCAAGCTGGGTGTGAGATCCTTAAAGTAACAGTATATCACAGTGAGTGCATTGTGATCTACCTGCCCTGGCAGCTTGGGTCATTCTGTAAGTGGTCATTGTGGTTGAGATGACAGAGTGAGTGACAGGGCTGTCTTCTAAGGTGAGACTCATCGTGAATAGACATTGGGGGAGGTTCTTCATGTGCTGGGAGCCAGTCATGGCAAGAGGCTTAAGTGAGAAAATGCTCACTGTGACCAAGAATGGCAGTTAGTCCATGGGCAGGAGCACACAGTGTGCCGTGGTGTGACTCTGGAAAGTAGTGAGGACTAAGGACTAAGAAACACGTTGAGGAACTTGGGAGTCTGACTTAGAGGAGACAGTATGGAACCACTGGGAGGAAGTGTTATGGCCACTGGAGGAATAGTCCTGGCTACATGGGATTGGATGGGAAATGCTCTGGAAGCCAGGCCACTAGTAAGAAGGCTGTTGCTGTGGTCCTGGTAAGACACCACAGCTATGGCAATAGGATAAGTAGGGGAACATAACAGTGACCAGGATGCAAACCAGTGAGAATTTGGGGAACCCCAAGAATGTTAAGGGTGAAGGATGAGACACCCCTGAAAAAGCTGAATTTTATTAAATGTATTAACTAGATAGCAGATGGCTCCCCATAGCAAGATCGGGGAGTGGACAGGGAAGGAGAAGGTCTGTGAAAAAGTCTTGGTTTGAAATGTGCTGGGTTTGAGTGGCCATTGAAATGAGTGAAGAAGACAGGCTGTGTGTCTGAAGCTTGGATGAGAGCAGCGGCAAAGGTGGGGAGGGTATCCAGTCTACCCAAACCCTCCTAAGTTGTCTTAGGAGACCAGGAACACCAGCTCTCATGCCTCCTCTTTATTTTGACTCTTTCCTCAAGGTGGACAGTGGTGACCCCGATGAGCTCAAATCGCAGTGCTGCAGGTGTTACAGTCTTTGAGGGCAGGATCTATGTGTCAGGCGGCCACGATGGTTTGCAGATCTTCAACAGTGTGAGTCTGGGCTCCTCTTGGACTAAGGGCTCCTACTCCTTCCATGTTAAGAATTATTTTAGGGCCCGGCGTGGTGGCGCAAGTGGTTAAGGTCCTCGCCTGCACTCCCGGGATCCCATATGGGCGCCGATTCTATCCCGGCAGCCCCGCTTCCCTTCCAGCTCCCTGCATGTGGCCCGGGAAAGCAGTCGAGGACGGCCCAAGGCTTTGGGACCCTGCACCCGCGCGGGAGACCTGGAAGAGTCTCCTGGCTTCAGATCGGCATAGTATCGGCTGTTGCGCTCACTTGGGGAGTGAATCATTGGACAGAAGATCTTCTTCTCTGTCTCTCCTCCTCTCTGTATATCCGCCTTTCCAATAAAAACATAATAAAAATAAATCTTTAAAAAAAAAGAATTATTTTAAAGATAGAGAAGGAGAGAGAGATCTCCCATCCACTGTTTCACTTTACAGGTGCTCACCATGGCATGGCAATGGCTGGGCCAAAACTGGAGCCACAAGCCAAATATGCAAACTAGGTCTCCCATATGATGTCAGGGATCCAGTTAGTGGAGTCCAAAGCCTTGAGTGAGGAGAATCAGACCCAGGCACTCCTTAGCTAACACAGGCATCTTAACTCCTAGACTAAATGCCCACTTCCTAATACTTATTTCAAGGCTGTTTGCTTGAACAACAAAAAAAAGTCAACCTTGCCACTGACAGACGCTGCATAATTTATGAGATTTCAAGCTCTCTGGCTCATCCTCTAAGATTCTTAACTTATGGGGCCTGGTGTGGTAGCCTAGTGGCTGAAGTCCTCACCTAGCATATGCCATATGGACACTGGTTCTAATCCCAGCGGCCCCACTTCCTATCCAGTTCCCTGCTTGTGGCCTGGGAAAGCAGTTGCAGATGGCCCAAAGCCTTGGGACCCTGCACCCGCGTGGGAAACTTGGAAGAAGCTCCTAGCTCCTAGCTCCGGATTGGTTCAGCTCTGGCCATTGCGGCCGCTTGGGGAGTGAGTCAGTAGATGGAAGATCTTCCTCTCTGTCACGCCTCCTCTCTGTGTATCTGAGTTTCCAATAAAAACAAATAAATCTTTAAAAAAAAATATTCTTAACTTTTAGAAAATGGGAGCCAGTGTCTACAAAGATGTCCAGTATAGTCAGCTCTACCTGCCTACCACCACTCCCTTGATTAACTATTTGTCAAAAGCTGCATCAGCCCTGGTGAAATTCCCACCCACATTAAGCTCCTTTATATACCAAGTGTGACTATGTAGATAATTGTGTTCCAAACAATCAGTGGGAAGCTATGAAAATGCTGAGCAGCCGTAGTGGTGATCCCATTGATAGCTCTCTGGGCAGACTAAAGAGGAGCCAGCTCTGTTGCTGCTTCCTTCAGCAAGTCCTTGGTTTCCTTGGATGCAGAAGGAGGCAGATTGGGTGTTTCACATCCCTATATACCCAAGAGCTGACACACAGTTGAGGAGCCGGAGCATCTGCTGGCAGAGCTCCTCATGCCCAGCCTCCCACTGGAATGTGACATCACGTGCCGAGCTGTGCCCTGGAAGGCCACTTCCTAGACAACTTTGGCTCTGACCACCCTGTACCTGTGCCTGTCTCCTCGCTGCAGGTGGAGCACTACAACCATCACACAGCCACGTGGCACCCAGCGGCTAGCATGCTCAACAAGCGCTGCCGGCACGGAGCTGCCTCCCTTGGAAGTAAGATGTTTGTCTGTGGGGGCTACGATGGTTCTGGCTTCCTCAGCATCGCCGAGGTGTACAGCTCGATGGCAGACCAGTGGAGCCTGATTGTACCCATGCACACACGCCGGAGTAGAGTGTCCCTTGTGGCCAGCTGTGGGCGCCTCTACGCTGTGGGGGGCTATGATGGACAGTCAAACCTAAGTTCGGTGGAGATGTACGACCCAGAGACAGACCGCTGGACGTTTATGGCCCCCATGGCTTGCCACGAGGGAGGGGTTGGTGTGGGCTGCATTCCTCTCCTGACCATCTAAGGCAGAGGGTAGGATGTGGTGGGATAGGGATCTGGTACAAATATAACGCGCTTCCTTCCAGGGACAGTCCCTCTCAAAGAGAGGTAGTGACCCAAAGAGGGGGTGAAAATGTGAGCTTGCCGGGGATACAGTTTTTCCAGGTGCTTAAGTCCTCCCTCACTGTGCTGCTCTTGAGACCTTCAGTCCTAGGTCATCAAGAGGCACAGCACAGAGCAGAAGCCGGGTCAGCAGCTGGTACCACGGACCTGCTTTGCTGGTTTCCATGTGCTCAAGCTGCATCCAACTATAGCTGCCACCAGCCATGGCCGTGTGGGCCGTCCCTGAACAGAGGTCTTCTGCTGCTCCTCTTCACCTACCTGATCTGCAGCTGTGCTGTGACCAGGTCACCGTGGAGAGACTGCAGGGGCCAAGCCTGTTGGAAACTAGGCTACCACTGGGAGCAGAAGCACACACTCCCGGCGTCATTCCTGCCCATGATAGTTCAGCCATGGTGTGGCAGCACACTGCTTCTTCCATCCTCGCACACAAAGGATTGTCTTGCCATCATTGGGTCAGCAGGAAAAACAGAAGTTTTTCCCATGTTTAACTTTTGAATTTCAGTGAGGTCTTTTTCATCTTGTCCAGGAGGAACTGAAAGAGGGGAAAAAACAGATACTTGAAAGAAACTGAAGGAAATTTAAACAAAGAGACTTTTGAAAGAAACTGGAAAGAAAAATACTTTTTTCCCAAGGAAATGCTTTTTTTGTTTGTTTTTTTGTTTGTTTGTTTTTGCAGGAAGGGAAAAAGCATAAAAGACACTAAGAACAAATCCATGTTTCAGTGGAGAACTGTCAGACGTGAAAAGGGCAGTGTCCACTCCCACATTCGGATCCCAGGGTCCTGAGGCTTCACGTAGCACTTGGGGTTCCCTCTGAGCTCCAGCGTGTCTGGAATCAGTGCATTCTTGACCAGTCCTGTAGCAAGGTGCTCTTGGGGTTTGTTTCCATACCCACCATCAGAGGACTTTTTTAACCGTAGACTTAGTAAGTTGGCTGTGTTACTACCACTCTTCCAGTTGGAAGCCTTACATGGCTCCAGATGCCCCTGTGATTTCCTCCCACTGCCACCACAGCACTCATTTGGATTCTGCACTCCCACCTACATTCCTTCCCCTTTGTTGACCAGCAGGAAACAGCAGGATTGGCTAGATTCTCACCTGCCCATCTTCTCCACAACCTAATCAGGGGCTTGCTCCTTCTACCAACCTTAGGCTGACACGGTCTGGTAACCTTGTCTGCTCTGCCATTCCACTGCTCCTCCATCCACTCGCCAATTCCAGGGGTCTGGCATCCCTCCAGCCCTTGGCAGACCGACCAGCAAGGAGGAAACTTACAATCACGCTGAGTTAGTTGTATAACATGAAGAACTGAAAGTGGAAAGAATCTCTTGCTGCTGCAAAGATTTTATATTTCTTCCTGTAATCTTGACACATGACCTCTTGAAGAGACTCCATGCTCCTTCCTAGTCCTTCCTGGATGGGACCTCAATGTAGCACAGCAGGACCCAAAGAGGAGGACACTTTCTATGACCAGTGCACTGGGCAGTGGGGCTGTCCTTCAACTGCTGCTGCCAAAATCTGGTCTTCTAAAATCTTCCAGTAGAGACTAAAAGGATACGATTCCTTTAACCCAAGACTGGGTCTTAGGGTTCCAGTCTACCCAGTTGGTTTCTTGTCCTTTGCTGCCTGCCTGGGGTAGCCTGGAAGCCTGTTCAGAACAGCACAATGTGGAATGTTCCCGTGCCCCTAGGACAATGAGATGAATGTGTGTGTGTGTGTGTGTGTGTGTGTGTGTATGTGTATGCACAATCGCCATGTATTCAGAGGGCAGGACCTCCTGCAGTTTAGGAGCTGGGCCTCTGCTATAAGCACTTGAAAAGAATGTGGGGTTCTTTTTTTGTTTTTTTTTGTTTTTTTTTTTTTAATTTTAAAAGACTCAACAATCTGATACCTGATGTCGTTTTGTTTTTGTTTTACCTGGGCTCACAATGAAGCTCCAATGTTCCCTCCCTTCCTCCTGGCTTTCCTAGAGAGGTAAGCTTGGAAGAAGGTTAGGGTTCTGTTTCCTTAGGAGTGTTATCAGTGCTCATGTGTCCGTTAGAACCCTTTCCTTTTATGAGTATGCAGTGCTGGGGAACCTGAATCGTGACAGTGTCAGTAAATTCTTGAGTGGGCCCTGCTAGCTCCAAAGTATGCCCACCACATTCTGCCAGTAGAGATCATAGACCATTCCTCATGGTCTGCTGCTTCGTAGTGGCCTTCCTGACCTGTTTCAGTCCTCTAGTGTTGAAGTTACACTGCTGCCCGTGAGGTCAGCGCTTCCATAAAAGATGGAACCAGTGCTTGAGTGAACACCAGTGTTTTCACATGCTCCCCAGGAGGCTCCTCAGTTTGACAGCTAATGGCTGGTATGGCTCCTTGGTGTTGAAATCTTCCCAGGTGCACCCTGAAAAGAGAAGCATCACCCATGGATATGGTGGGAAAGATCCACTCAGGAGGCAAGACAGACATTTTCCTCCATAGGTCTTGGGGGGCTAGTTTAGCTCTGAGCAGAGGACCATGTTAGTCATTGTCCTTTGAGCAATTCTTCTTGAATCAGATCTGAAACCTCCCCTGAATCTGTCTGCGATCTGCAGTACGATAGCAACTGAAGACCAGCCTGTTGACTTGGCCACATGAAATATGACTAGGTAGGAATTCTCTCCGCACATACTCCAATTTGGTATTTCCCAGAAAATCTTATTTATAGAAGGCATGTTTTTTTGTGTTAAACCAAAGAGAAATAAAAGAACACTCCTAACAGCTCTTGTCTTCATTGATTTTTTTAATATTGAAAGTGATATTTTTCTTATGGTTCAGTGAATAATATATTGCACAGAGTAGAAATATTCCTGTTGAAATAAAGGACAGTCCCGTTAACCCCTGCCACAGACACATCTCCCTCCCTCCTCCTCCCCTTCCTCACCCTCCTCATCCCTACCAGAGACCCACATGGGTCTGCAGTCCCCATCCCCTCACTTCTGTAAGGATTATTTAAAAAATGATGATGTAGGGCCTGACGTGGTGGCCCAGCGACTAAAATCCATCTTTAAAGCGCTGGGATTGCCTTATGGGCGCCAGTTATAACCCTGGCAGCCCTGTTTCCCATCCAGCTCCCTGCTTGTGGCCTGGGAAAGCAATTGAGGACCCATGTGGGAGACCTGTAAGAAGTCCCTGGCTCCTGGCTTCGGATCAGCGCAGCACTGGTTGTTGTGGTCACTTGGGGAGTGAATCATCAGATGGAAGATCTTCCTTCTGTCCTGCTCTCTGTATATCTGACTTTGTGAGAAAAATAAAATCTTTTTTAAAAAAAAAGTATAGTAAGGGGAAAGCCAACTGTCCAACAAAATCTTTAAAATATATATATATTTTGTAAGAATTCTAATGAAAAATATACAGAGACTTGACTGGCATCCTGCTCCCTCACAGTTGCTCCTGCCTGGACATCCAGTGCCCTCAGATTTCCCCTCATCTTCTGCTGTAATGCTTTCACAGCTTCCCAGCAAATGTTTCTGCTTTGTTGACTGACTGGCCCATCACCTTGGCACCTCTTTAATGCTTTAGACCAGAAGTGCTTTAACTTTGGTATACATGAAAGTCTTAGGAAAGTTTTTAAGCCACAGATTCATTCTTTATTCCTTCCCCAGGGATGGATTTCCCAGCTTAGCACTCGTGTGGGCCAGGTTCTCGGGTGGTTTGTATGCTCATCAATGTGTGAGAAGTGAATTCCTGTCTTTAGTTTCCATTTCCTCAAATATAGACATGTTCCAGATCTGCCTTCCTAAGATTACATCCTGGTTACTGCGGGTTGTAGCTGTTGGGAAACACTTCCATCACATCTTTTTCCAAAAGTCAGCTTGTGGTCAGTTTCATCCATTGATGGTTATACTCCTGGATAGCAGCTTTATTTTTACATGTTTGGAAGCCCTGTCACTCCCACACATATCCTACCAGCACTTGTTTCACACAGAAACACTCTGTCTGTTGAATCCTCATAATCCCCACAGAGCAGGTAGCATATAGCTCATTTTAGCCTACAGAATCTGCTGTAGGCCAAGTAACCAGCTGATTCCTCCATTAATCAAGATATTCACACTCAAGTCCAGCTCCCCTAAAAGCTGTGGAGTCTGACCCATGACACAGCCAACCTGTCCACTTTCCATGCCCAGTGTGTGAGGACTGCTGCTGTTCAGTACTACCATGGATGCTGGAGAAACAGGGTTACAAAGGTGGAAACCTCTCTGGCCTGTGCAGCATTAGGGAAAGATCCCATGCTTATACATAAGGAAGGGCCCCTGCAGTGTAACCTGCACCCCGCTGATAACCAAGGAGCCCCCTGGTGGGTGCATGGACTGGGGAACTAAACTCACCTGCTTGATCCATTTGTTTCCTCCTGTCTGCTGTTTCTCCCTTCCCTCTTGTTCTTTGAACTCCATTTCTCTCCTGAGCTGCAGCAGAATCCTTTCCTCTTCACCCCAGAGTCCGGCCCTACCTGTTTTTATTGCTCCTCACAATATGCTGTTAGGTAGGCAAGAAATTTATAAGAGAATTGGACAGTTCTCATTGGAATTATTCCAGGTCTCCTGACCCCAGTGCATTTCTTGTGGTTCATGTGTTTTTCTCTTTAAGCCCCCACCCATTGATTTCTTTTTGTCTATTTTTGCAGCTTATGATAAAAAATTAGACTCTCCTCCCTCCCTGCTACCATAGACACATTTCTTTTCACCCTTGCTTCCCTCCCTGGCCCTCTCTGTTCCTACCAGAGGCCCACATGGGTCTGCAGTCCCCATCCCTCCACCTCAGTAAGGTTCATTTTAAAATAATTAACAGTTAAAATAATGAATAAATAAATCACATAAGCTCCGTATCACAGCTTGGAAAGCTTCTGTTGATGGTCACACTTGGCAGCCAGCCTCCCTTAAGCAGTGATGACTCCCGACTGCGACCTGCCATGCTAGGGGCCCATGCTTGTCTGCGTTACTGCTAGGTGCTCCCCGAGAGTCTATCATTAGTACCCGGCATTTGGCATGAAAGAAACTCAACAACTGCTTTTGTGGAAGAACTTCAGGACAGCCATGTTTATCCACATACTAAGGGTGCCTAGTCATTTACCCCTAGTATTCTATTTTGCATCGTTCAGCCACTGTCACTGTACAATGATGTGTAGTAAAGTTGTTCAGCATTACTATTATTCCTTTTTTAAAATATTCTCATCTTGCTAAAAATCCTCTTTGCAATTAGTTTGCTTTGCACCTCACTCCTCAAGCAGCCATCATTTTTCTGTCTGTAAGTGTTCCCATCCTAGACATTTTGTATAAATAATAGGTGATAATTGGTGTCTACATTAGAATAATGTTTTGAAGGTCCACCCGTGTCTAGTTTCTCCCTTTCATTTTCTGGATTATTTTCCACTGTGTAGGTATACCACGTGTCACATCCCCATTCACCAGTTGATGTCTAGATCATTTCTAATTAGACTCTTGAGAAAAAATGCTGCTATGAACATTCATGTTCTTGATGGCACTGGTTGATTCCTAGGGGTAGATTGCGGGACCATATGGTAAGTTCAATTTTAGCGTTTTTAAGAAGTTGCCCAGCTTTTCCTACATGACTGTATTCTTCACTGTTTCACTCAGCAGTTTGCAAAAATCTAGATTTCTCCACATCCTGGCCAACAAACTTGTCTGTTTATTTATTTATTTGAAATAATAGCCATTGTAGTAGATGTGAACTAGAACTTAGGGTTTCAATGTGTGTTTCCCTGGAGCAGGTGTTGTAGCATAGAGGTTCATCTGCTTGCAATGCCAACATCCCATATGCACACCAGTTGGCATCCAGCTCCTTGCTAATGCACCTGGGAAAGCAGTGGAGGATGGCCAAAGTGCTGCCATGTGGAAAAGCTAAATGGAGTTCTAGACTCGTGACTTCAGCCTACCCAGACCCCTTGTTTCAAGCATTTAGGTAAGTGAATCAATGGAGGGGAGAATCTCTGTGTGTGTCTCTATCTGACTCAATTTTTTTTTTTTAAGAATTGAATGTAACAGTTCTAGCCTTGCATGTAGGTGTATTTCGTGTTGGGGTTACCTTTTGTATATGGGAGGAAAGGGTCTAAAAATCATCTGTGGGTTTGCATCTGTCCTGGCATGGCTTGTTGTAAAGATACCCTTTTCCCCACTAAATACTTTGTTATCTTTGACTAACTCAGTTGACCTTAAATGTAAATGTGAGGGCTTATTTCTAGATCTGACTTTGTAATAAAAGTATACAAATCTTTGAAAAAAAAAAAATAGAAGCTTTGGGGCAGGGCATGGTAGCCTAATGGCTAAAGTCCTCACCTTGCACATGCCAGGTTCCAATATGAGCACCAGTTCTAATCCTGCGAGAGCCACTCCCCATCCATCTCCCTGCTTTTGGCTTGGGAAAGCAGTGGAGGACGGCCCAAAGTCTTAGGATCCTGCACCCATTTGGGAGACCCAGAGGAGGCACCTGGCTCTTGGCTTCAGATTGGCTCAGCTCTGGCCTTTGACAGCACTTGGGGAGTGAACCAGTGGACAGAAGATCTTTGTCTCTCCTTGTCTCTATCTGATTTTCCAATAAAATAAAATAAATTTGAAAAAAACAAAACAAAACAAACAAAAAAAACCAGCTGCAGCTTAGGTTCAGCGCTGTAGCCTGGTAACTAAAGTCCTCCGCTTGTGTGCACTGGGTCCCATATGGGTTCCAGTTAGTGTCTGAGCTCCTCCACTTTTCTTCCAGCTCCCTGCTTGTAGCCAGGAAAAGCAGTGTAGGACGGCCCAAAGCCTTTGGACCCTGAACCCACGTGGGAGACTCAGAAGAAGCTCCTGGCTTCTGTTTTCGAATCTGTTCAGCTCTTGCCATTGGTGGATTCAGAGTGAATCAATGGATGGAAGCAGCTATTGTCCTTGCCTTGCATGCGCTGGGATCCCATATGGGCCCTGGTTCTAATCCTGGCAGCCCCACTACCCATCCAGCTCCCTGCTTGCAGCCTAGGAAAGCAGTCAAAGGTGGCCCAGTGCCTTGGGACCCAGGGCCATGTGGGAGACCCAGAAGAAGCTCCTGGCTTCGTATCTGCTCAGCTCTGACCCTGGCAGCCACTTGGGGAGTGAATCAGCAGACAAAAGATCTTTCTCTCCCATAGTGCAAAGCTGGCAATTCCCAAAGTTAGCTTGTCTGCATCTTTACAAGCCCCTCACTTCCTGTCTCTTCTGGTTTCTAAGGCTGCTTGCTGCTCCTGTCTGAAAGATCATCCCTGTTCCTGACTCTCCCCTTCTATCTGATTTTCATATGAGGTTTTGGAGCTTAGTCCTGGGTTCTCATTTACCCTTACACACTCTTCCTAGGGCTCATGAGGACAGGTCTAGAGTTTGGATGGAGCAGGCCCCCCCCGCATGGCGGGCTCCTCCACCGTGTTGCAGTATTACAGTTCAAATCCAGTCATGATTCTTTCATGGCAAGCATGTGCTATGTGTAGAGTCCAGCATCTTATTGTCCAGATAAATTCAACAGTTTCTTGGGGAGACCATCTGAAAGCAGAGCTGGCAGAATATCATCCCTTCCAATGGAAAGCCACAACTTAACATCAACAACAATTTACAAAAACATATGGAACGGGCCCGGCGCGATGGCGCAAGTGGTTAAGGTCCTCACCTTGCACGCCCGGGATCCCATATGGGCGCCGGTTCTAATCCCGGCAGCCCCGCTTCCCATCCAGCTCCCTGCATGTGGCCTGGGAAAGCAGTC